GGAGGAAAGGCGCCATCAGAAGCTGTTTAGGCCTGACACAGGCATGTTCAGCCACCACTTGTCCCACCCTGGAGTGGGATGCCCTCAAGTGAGCTGCTGTAGTCAGCCCCTCTGTATTCCCTCCCCTTTTGTGCCTCCGAGACAACAGACACACGTCTCATGGTGCTACATCATATGTTTCAGCGAGCATCTTGGAGAGAAAGAAAGGTTGGCCACTGATGTAGCAGAAGGAACAGGAAGACTTCAGACATACAGCACTACCGTCTCTCTCACTACAGAAGATGTTATGCTTTTGCCCTTCTAGCAGCAGGGAGGTGACTAAGAGCTGGCCTTCTCTGCGCTGTTCTTTTGGAAGATCTTTTTACTTTCCAGAATATAACCCAGCAATTCTTCTGGGCTGATACTGGGCAGATGACATGTACAAATTTCACACAGTCTGGGCATTAACAACCACTGTAAATTTAAATAGGAAGAAAAGGAAGAGAACTGAAGCCCCTGTCAGACCTTACCTACAAAGCTACACTACCACTACTCGGTCTAATCACATTTTAGCACAGTTTGTCAGTCAGGAGCAAGTCCCTGTTGCCATCTGGCAATACGTGCTAAGGCTTGAAGAGTTGCACAGTATCGGATATCTAAAGTGTATTTATGCAAGAGACAGAATAAAAAATGCTCATTTTCTATTTCTGGATAGGCACCTTTCTATAATCACTAATTAATCTTATTTTCAAAAAGGCATGTACAAGTATTTCATATTTACTTGAAGGTAGGAATGACATTCCAGCTATGTTATTGCTATAGCCATGCATGCTATAAAACTCATGATTCAAACCTTTCAAAATGATTTGCAGAACTACAGTGTTTCACATTTCCCCTTTTATTATTTTCCTGCCCAAAAATAAGAAAAAAGACTGTCTTTTTTGTGCCCTGAATTGTCTGTGTTTAAAGCTCATGTTTATTTGTGAAGTGAATCAAGAATTCTTAGAGATTCTAGTCAAAAGCCAACAACATATTTTTCTAGATTTTTAAAGACAAAACTCATAAACACCAGTATAAATTTTAAACTCTTCTATGCAACCAGTAGGTTTGCGGCTCGTTCGTTATAATCAAACATTTTTTCACATCAGGTGAAAAAAAGTTTTCCAATGCAGACGAGGGGAACAGAAAAGCAACCTGCTAATTACTGATCTCCCTTACGTTCCCGCTGTGCTAAACTGTCCGGACATGTCGAAGTGAAATTTTTCTGCGATTTTCAAGTGACTAGTTCATGGCCCACTGCCGTGGTGTGCAGGAGCAGGGATGAAATGCTTTAGTTTACATGCAACATTTACTAACTGTGTGGGTTTTCCGACATTAAAGAGGGGACAGTGACCCATGCCACCTTTTTCACACTCAAAAGAGCACTGAAAAAACAGTCTTCATAGGCTTACCTCAGGCTTCCCTGGCCCTTAACACCCTCCCCCCAGGGTAGGAGCAGAAAGAGAAAAAAGAAGGGATTTTATGCTCCTTTCTCTTCAACTTTTCAGGCGGTATAAGCAGCATTTAGCAAATTCAGCCTCCAAATGGCTCCAAATGCTCTGAGCTGCAGGGGCTCATCCTTTGTTAGCCTCCCTCTATTTACACAGGATTTACGCAGGCTCTCCACTGAAGAGACCACATGTTTCTGACAGAAAGCACTTCCATTCACACTGCATCAGGCAACAGGATTGTAACCACCGCAGCTTCACGCTGACCTGAGATTAGGGATTTCAGCAACACTGAGATGGTAACAATCTGCTAACTAACGAAAATTATCCATGGAGAACTCCACTGCTTACTCTGGTTAAAACTACCGTGGCCAGATAGATTAGGTTACTTAAAAGGACAATTAAGAACTAGCTACTGTCAAGAATATGCGTGTCCATCTACAAATAACATACACACACAGAGAAAAATATCAGCAGGGGGAAAAAAAAAAAAAAGAAAAAATCAGACTGCAGCTTGGATTAAAACAATTTCACCCACTGGCTGAAGACATAAAGTGTAAAAACAGACAGATGGACACATATGTAAATGTGGCTGCATTTGTTTCTCTGGAGCTGGCAAGTTAGTAATAACAGTATAGTTTAATAATTTATTTTCCATGGTATTTTCACACTGGTTAACTGGGCAGCAGCAACATCCATGCGGAACTTCAGGCGCAGAATAACTCCTTCTATCTAGTGGCTGCTGGGGCAAACAAACTGAACCAAGTGACCTCTCGGCTCTACCTACAAGGACTCAGTCCTGGAACCCAATATCAGTCTGGGGATTCTTAACATTCATTATTATTTTTTTTTTTTAAACTCTGTTTGGCCAATCAGGATTTCCGCACTGAGATTTTTTTTTTCCAGATTTAGTATTTGTGTCAGGGTTTTTCAAAATGAATTACACACACACACACATACACACACACAAGCACAACAAATGCTGCTGGTTGGAGCTTGTGGGTCTTTTGCTCAGTAGCCTTTCACAGGGCAACAGAAAATCAGATGGGAACACAGGGCCGGAAAGGCCCACACTGATCCAGTTTTTGATGAGTTTTATTTTGTTGTCTTAATTCGGCAATCTCTTTTGCTTCTGTAGCAAAGCACAAAACAGTTTACTCCTGTAATAGTAACTCAAACATGCATCCGATCAGCACGTAAAAAGTGCACAGTATATTCCAAAGTTCTCCATAGTATATCATAATAAAGCTCTTCCGGGCACTCAATGATTCAATTTTAGTGATCTCTCAAATGCCCTTATCCACAGTTAACACTCAGATTTTATTAAGGAAGAAAGCAGGGACAAATGTCCACTTAAGTCCCAGCTCTCAAATTCAACTCTGCTTGCGCTGCAGTACCTAAAGCTAAAGCTTCTTTAATGTTCTATTCACCTCCCCTGTGTGGCATTTCTGCTAACACAGAGTTCACAATCTTTCAGCCCCAAACACAGAAGGCTGCTATCTTCAAGTCATCCAAGGAATGTGCCAGATACTATCATCTCCCCTGCAATACAAAGAACCAGAAAGAGGCAGAGACCAAAAGGAGACCGTACTGATCAGGTTACTGAAGTCCAGAAAGTCTTTCCCAGAATGCTAAATGTTAATCTTTGAACCAGCAAATGTTATAATTAAGATCCTTGTAGTTGGAGGAAATGCTAGCTCGAGAAGTCAAAGGTACAGCCATTTGAAGTTGTACTTTTTTGCAGGTTTATCCTAATCTCGCACCCCTCATGCTGGCACAACCGCCATCAAGCACTTTGTTCCATTCAAGCAAAATTATCATTAATGTCAGTGGCAGTTTTGCCTGAGTAAGGAGTGTAAGACCAGATCCTTGTCTCGTTCACATAGAATTGCAAGCACTGCACAATTCTAGAGGAGATATACTCATTAAAACTTGTGGTTTATGCTGATTTATGATGCCCTTCTGTTTAACAGTGAAACTCTCTTTGTACCTCACCGGGAAAGTGTTCAATGCACTTGTTTCTACAGGGTTTTAACTTCAATTCCCCCCCTTCCCACCTCAGCACAAGTTGGGAAGTTTACTCCCAGGTTTTGGCACCTAGGCTGAAGGAAAGCATTATTAAATTAGGTTTAAGTATTTTGTCTGCTTCGGTAATTACTTTGCAGTGTGAATGTAAATAGCTGTTATTCTGTTTAAATTTTTCATCCTACTAAACGCTGTCAGACAAAATGTCCTTGTGCTGCAGTCTAAATGGAGTTCTTTTTAAATTGCTTTTAAATATATTTTTAGAGATATATTTTTAGCATTCTTGTAGTAATTCTGTTAAGAATACCAGCTGCAGACTTTGGCTACAGCTGAGACAACAATAACAAGTCATTAAAGAAATCAGGAGACAAAAAACTTCTTTTTTTTTGCCTAAAGAACATCTTTAAGAGACCATTTTCTTTTTTTAGTTCTCTATCCCTGTTGGAATAAGTGGGATAGTGTTTTAAGTTTCCTTAATCAACTGTACCAAAGTTAGTATACAATAAAAAGCTATATTTTATTTTAAAAACCATTTCTTATTTGCTATCTTGTTATTTTTGTCATTAGAATAACCTAAAATGTGGGCAAAATAGCCAAGTTCAATTAAAATTCTACCTACAGTTGAAGTCAAGTAAGTTCAATAGTATCTCATCAATATTTAACATTTTGCAGTTGTTATATATAGCAGAATATGAAGATCTTAAAGTAAATGATGGTTAACATCCTATACTGTTGTTCTTCATTAGATCATTAATGTAGTTTCTTTAAGAATAAAAATGGCTTTTTTTTTTTTTTTAAAGGAAAGCAGCCATCAGAGCATCTCAGTTTTCCTTACAGCTGTTACAAACTTACAAACTGTGAGATATTTTAATGTCTTGCAGTTCCCTTTAGACAACATGCTGTCGGACACAACTGCTTGCTCAGGAGACATCCCTTAAAATGATGCCCCCTAACACAGCAAGAGCTCACGTACTGTCCACATTAGAAACCTCTCTTTTCAGGTTTATTTAGCTATTTTAAAAGCACCAGATGAAATATTGCATACACGTGCAAATTCATAGGATTTTTTCACCATTTCCAAAAAAAAAGTTACAACTAGAAATGTAACACACATTTATTCCTGAGAGATACTAAGTTAAAAGCTTCAGTTATTAAAAAGGACATTTGTTAGGCCACAAGTCCAAAATGCACATTAGTCTATTTGAAGATGTATTAAAAAACATGGAGGATGGCTGAATGCTTAAAAAAAAAAAAAAAAGGTGTTTTAATAGAAAAGTGTCAAAATGAACCGTAAAAGCTTTTCCAGGTGATAAAATGTACACAAACGTGTATGTTACATAAAACACAAATAAGAGTACCATCTCGATATGCATTCACAAACACCTGAGCAGCATCAGAAAAGATGCTTGCTGTGAATGCATAGCCCAGAAAAAATAAAAAAAAAAAAAAAAACAAAACAAAAAAACCCCAAAAACCAAAACAACTCCAAACTTGGCAAGTCTTACATACCGTAAGAGCTCCAACACCTATGCACAGTAGGGTGGATTAACCCGCTGGGTGCTGCGGACATATATATGCACCTCCTCCTAAAGTGTTCATTTGGCTGGCAGTCTGGAAAATGCCAGAATGTGAAGGGTTACGTGGGAACACTGACAGTCTGCTCTTGTAGGTTTAAGTTAAAGCCCGTACTTTAAATATAGTGTGCTATGTATTCAGAAACATAACTAATACTGCTTGTAAGTGGTATTTTATATGGTGCTCGCAGCAAAGGGCTCGATCTGGTGCTCGCTCCCGCTGGTGAAGCACGTTCCGGCCGACCACCACGTGCTTTGGATCTGCCCGTATTTACTTTCAGGGGTAACATGTTTCAGGAGCCTTTTCCTCCAATAAGCCTTGTAAAGGTAAAGTGTAAACCATCTATACCTCATCTGCTATATCTACTGGATGCTTAAAAGTGGTTACTGGAAAGGCCTGAAATGCTTTGTCTTCCAAGTTCAGCAGACAGACTCGTAAGAGCCAGCATTTAAGAGATGAAGCCCCTGGTTAGTCCCTGCTAGTTTCTTGGAGTCTGGCCTCAGCCAGTTAATACCCAAATGCCTCAAACTGGAAGCAGCAGCAAGCATACAGACACATGAATTCTGGTCAGAAGGTTTCAACTGGTTGACAATAAAAGCAAAAAGAAATCTTTATGATATCAGAAAGGCTTACGAGCAACTTATTTTCTCCCATCTTACAATTTTACTGGATTGTTTCCAGTAACCGGATAATACTATAAAACAAACAAACAAGGGAAGGCCATGGCCTTCTCCTCTTTCCACACCCAAACTATCCCATAGGATGCTTTGATTTGCTTTAAGTGATCAAAAGAACTGACAGAGCAATGCATAAATTCATAGGAACATTGGGAAAAGCATTTGTCAGAAGTTTCCATTCACTTGATTTAGAAAATAAGGAAACACAAAAATAGCAAAATGACAGGGTACTGACTTGTTATAACACTATTTGCCTAAAAGTTCACAGCACAAAACTAAAAAGCACAGACCCCTACTCCAACACGTGATGCTTTGCTTTTCTGTTCATAGGCCTGTAATTTCGTTTCGAGTCTTTCATTGTAGCAGAAAGTGTTGCAAAAGACAAACATGCAGCGCCTACAAAGTCTTCCCAGCTTGGATTGCATCCCTGGGCTCTTCCTAGGGAAGGAACTCACAAGTTGGGCTCCAGAGAACTTCCATCACCTTGCTCCTGCCCTTCTGAGGACACAGGGTTGGCTATAGGCAGGAACCCCAAATGAAAAACCTGGCAGGTTATGAGACTTCTCTTCATTCAGATGGGTAAAGCTGAGTTTCCCCCCGGACAGGCGGTTCACCTAGCCAGTTAGAGAACTGACGCGTATGCCATAAGATCAAATCTAAGCCCCACCAATCAAGTAGCAGTCTGGGCTAAATGTGCTGATGCAGCAAATTTCCAGATCTTGATCACACTAGGCAGGGGAGTCATTCTTCTCAGTGATAAAGTCACTGAATGCACTCTTGAGGAGATAAAAAATTAAGAACTGGCTGACTTTGCACCATTTGAGTGAGGTATTCACTGCTGACCCAGAACAACAGAATTGTCACCAGCTAGGAATCACCGTAGACGTGGTCATCTCTGACTCCTTACTGCAAGGCTGTTCACAGGAATAGTTTCTCAGCTGCTAGTGGCATCAGTGCGGAAACTACAATGCTTAAATGCATTATGCGTTAGAAGAAACTTCGTGCAGTCCCTCCATCTCTCCCCTTCTCCCCCTCCTCTTAAAAACTCTGCAAAATGATGCCAATGAGAGGGGCTCAGTAGTCAAAAAAAGCAAACAGGATTTCAGCAATTAAGATTTGCCTCAAAGACATTAACACCCCTTTGCAATTTTATACTTAAGATATTTTTACCTGTGTTTTACTGTGTCAGCTTTTAAAATTTACCAGAGATTGATGCAGCAGCTAAGTACTGAGATGCTAATAGTGTTGGAGCAGTATCTAACATCAGATATTCCATTCCCTTTTCTGTTACTGGCTCAGAAAGTGACCTTCAGCAAACTTTAGGGATAAGGATATTCAAAGGTGCTCAAATGAGCAAGGAACACAGCTTGCAATGAAAACTGCTTTAAAAATAATACATAATACTCCTCTTGATAGTAACTGGCGGTGGCTCTTAGGTAAGTGAATATTATATATTATTACTTTTAAAGACAAACATGTCAATGCAACTCCTGCACTCATTTGAGCATTACATTTTTTCAAGCCTGAGTACAGTTATTGTTTTTACTACTCCTTCATCTCCAAACGTGTATCTTAAAGAGAACATGAGTTCTTTATATCCTAAAATACTCCGTTAGAAGGCAGGTTCTTGGACATAAGTACTTGTGATCAAAATAGATACACAAGGACATCTTATTTCTTTTCTCCTACAGCTAAATAGCAGTATTTCCATTTATGTAACTAGGAGCAGAAGCAAGTCTTAGTGCTGCAACTTCGGTAAAGAGACCACACAGGTTTTTCTATCTGCGGCTGATCAAAACAGTGAAGCATGGACAGCCCTGTCACCCAGTCTTTACCCATCTCTGGTTCCTGTGGCATACATGGGAATTTGTTCTGAGAGACTGGGTGAAAAAACTAAGATTTGGCATTTGCTGTTTCTACCTCCAACAAACCCAACAACAAACCACTCTCTGGACCTCACTCTTCACCTGCCATACACGCTGTGCTCCCAGGGAGGAGGAAAAGTGCTCACGGGGGAGTGGGACCTGCCCATGCTCCCTGTCTCTTTGCGGCGAGGATACTTATGTGAGCACCGGCCCCATATGTTTGGACAGGGATAGCTTCTCCCTGGCTCTCGGAGAGCAGGAAAGAATTACCACATGGAGTACAGGTCTGGGGCCATTTTTCTGAAATAAGAAACACCAGCGTTCACAATTCACTTACGAAGCACTAACGAGGCCCCCTTTCCAGCCCCCTTTGTTTCTCACAAAACAGATTTGTCTGGACAATGGCAAGGAAAGAGCAGCTAAATCAAGGAGATGAGCAGGCCATCCTTTTCTCCTCGACTACTGCTGCTTTCCGGTACCCATGATGGCTTTTCCTGTATGTGACAAAGGTTCGGTAAATAACGCACGCCTGGACCCTGGCCGTTGATGGTTCACAGACTGTACATCCTTAGCAGCACCACCCCATCTATTACTGTGGAATTAGTTGACAATACTACTAGTTGTACCAAAAAAATAAACTAATTGGTCCCTGAGGATACCTAGGTGCTTTGGAAGTCTTTTTAACAAAAAGAAAAAAATTATCTCCCATAGTGATTTGCCAGGCTTCCTATACTCTATCCAGCACATTGGGACTTCTAAATTACATACTATAATTGACATCAAATATCTGTCCCATCAGTGAATATCTTTATTAGCATCAAAATCACTCACAACTAGTGTTCCTCAATGTTATTAAACAGAACTTGTTCTAGGTGTTGCCTTACTAATTAGTCAGGATGAGCCCGAGGAAGAAAATCTGGGTCATGTTAAATTAATTGGAATGAGCATGAAAATTAGCAGAGCAAACTGCATCAATTTTCTATAGAGAGCCTTTCTTCATGTTGAGAATAAAAATGGATATTATGAGGCATTAACCAAACTGCCTTCTGTGACTGCCAAGAGGTGTGTTACAGTAGCCCAAAAATATCATGCTCACAGATTTTCAGAAGTTAATGAGACATTTCCAGGAATGGTAAATACATGGTATTAAAATGGGTGTGCCTCTTATGGGAAAATGCCAAGTCATTTCATGTTTATTCAGGCATAACAAGCTCCTCAAAATGAGCATAATTTAAGAGGTGAATAGTGCAAAGAGGGCTAACATTCAACTAATTTTCCTTAAGAAAGAAAAGATTAAATTGAACAAAAAATGAATTAAGAGGTTTACAAATCAACAAGTCAACCATCAGATTGCAGCCTCTGCTCAGTATATTCTCATCAGCCCCTGCCATGAAGTTTTCAAAAAATGTCCCGAAGGCAGGGAACAAAGCGAGCAGAACTGATTACAGCCACACTCACCGCCTTGCTGTCTAAACTCTGTTTGGCTTCCTAATGAGCTCACTAAAAACCTAATTCATCTCCCATAACCCTTCTCAGCCCTCCTTGAAATTCACCATTATGGAAATTACAGATGAAACATTTACAGGCTGTGTTCAAATTACTGCTTCTTCAACAGGCAGGTCCCTGACCCTCACAATGAACACAATAGAGGTATGTCCGGCATGAAACCACTCGAGCCACAGCCTATAGAATAAAGAGGCTCAGGAAGGTTAAGACTTTTTCTCATGGTGACAATGATTTCCGCATTAATGCTTTCAGTTCCATGAATATGGGAATTTTGTGGGTTTGACAGTATATCAAATACAAATTGTAATTCAGAAGGGGAGAAATGAGTTGTACTGATGACAAATAGCTGAAATAGGCTAATGTGAATTCCCAGCCTGTTCATGAGGAAACTCCCTCAGTTCCTCATTACATGAAGTCAAAATGATCCTCACGGCACCTAGCCTGTAACTGGAAGATTACTGAATTGATGGATCCTTAGTTTAAAATGCAGCTGTTTTATTCTGCTTTAGTAATTAATTCTTTTTCCAATACCATATTGATTAAGCGTAGACCCTGATAAAGTTCAAACTGAGAAGAATCTCTAGTGGCTTCCCTAGTTGCTCCAGAGACTCAATGAAAACTTCCTACAATTCCACCTGCCTCCTCAGAGTGCTGATCCAATGAACAGAACAGTTTTTTTCTCATAAATTAGTTAGGCCATGTGGAGCTGTATTAGCTGATCGTTGCTTTTGTCTCTCTACTTGCTGACTTGCTTTTCACTTTTGCTGTCCTTTGTGCTGTCACACACAAAGTCGGAGTGCAGCTGCCATGCTGAACCCAAACCAAGGTAAAGAACAATTCGTACAAACTACATTTTTCCCCCCCCCCCCACTTTATACAGCTGCAACTCCCCGAGCAGCGCTGCACTCAATAAGGCCTCCTGGGATCCAACTAGCAGAGAAATCCGTGCTGAAGCATGCAGTTGTTCTGTGGGACTAAAGGGTGTTGG